GGTCCCTGTGCTTTGCCAAGCTTGATCCAAGTAGGTGCTTTAGACCACTGAGCCATCTCGCCAGCCCATATGTAAGGTTCTTGAGGAAACAGAGACACAGCAATAATGAGGAAGGCTTTTTTAAATTAATTATTTATTTACTTTTGAGGAAGGCTTTTATGGATGTGAGAATGGCAAGCCAGGGGGCTGGGAAGATAGCTCAGTAGAATAAGTGCCTGGCAAGCACAAGGGCCTGAGTTCAATCCCTGGTTCTGAAAAAAAAGAAAGAAAAAAGAATGGCAGGCCATCTTCTGAAGCACGGACCATGCCAGGGGTGCAGCAAGCTGAGTTTTTATAGGGTAGGGCACTACAGTGTGGAGACTTTGAAGCATCGCTGCTGCCAGGCTATTGATTTGATTTTGGAGGGGTAAACAGATAGGGCCACCTCCTCCAACTGGAGGGTAAGATTGAGAGAAAGGTTGCAGTTCCAGGTGCCCCTGCCCCAAGTCCAGCTCCAAAGGCAGAAAAGATGCCCATGCCGATAAGAACAGGAGTATGAATGGCTCTTGTCTTTCTGGTAAGGTGTGTGGCCAATGGTTGTGTTAAAAGGTACACTTCTATAGCACTTTTTTTTTTTTTTTTTTTTTTTTTTGCGGTTCCGGGGATTGAACTCAGGACCCTGCACTTGCTAGGCTTCTATAGTATCTTGGGAAGTTAAGGTTAGGGCTGGGACAAGGAGAACTAAGGTAGGGCTTCCATCCAATAGGGAGGGAGGCAAGTGTAGGCACTCTGTGGCCACCTGTGAAGTAGCCCCTTGGGGGCAGATGGTGAGAGAGGCATTGAAGATAATGTTTTGGTTACCATGGGAGACATTTTCTATTGTGGGGGAGGAGTTTTGGGAAGAGATAAAGCAAGTGAGATTGGTGGGCCAGTGATGTATGTTATAGAGAGAGGGCCAATGATTTGGGGTGTGAAAGGAGGGTCAGGTAAGATGCATTCCCATGTGCAAGGGAAACCATATATAAGTGATTGGTATGGAGCACAAAGCCAGCATTCTGTGAAATTTGAGGAGTTGGAAAGTGTTGTATATGTGAGAAGAGCTGAGGGACAGAATAGGGCATGGCATCTGGTGGGCAGACAGGAAGTTTAATGGTAGGTCCTCCCAGGAGGTTGATGAAGAGGGGGCAGGGCCATTGGCTGTACTCTAAAAACAAGAAAGTTACCTGTTCTTCCTGAGTATGATCCAATCCCATCGTAAAAGGCAAGACCCCAAGTTTTTCCTAAAAGATACTGTGGATGTGAGGCATTGTTGATAGTAAAGTGTACTTTAACGTCTGGAGTCCTAGGAGCATTGGAAAAGGAGACTTTGATGTGAGGGTCAGATTGTTTCCAAGAACTGCCATCATGATAGAGACCAATGGTTTCGCATCCCCACTTGGAGGTATAAAAGTGGGTAACATCGGAACATGTTTTCTGGTGGGGGTTAGAGGGGCGGGGTGCCAAATAAAAGCCCTTTTGGTAACAAGTGGTAAATTTTCGTCCATTAGATGTCACATCCCAGGTGTTTGCAGAAGGGTGGAGCAGGCAGTAAGGAACAGTAAGTTGGAGAGTGGAGTGAGGGGGTGTGAAGTTGGCGGAGGCAATGGTGCTCCCATCAGCCAGAGTAAGAGTAAAGGTATAATTAGAAGTTGATGCTGGGGCCATGGCAGAGGAAGAATGTAGTAGAATGATTATGAGGCCCAGAGAAGAAGACATAGAAGAAAAGAGAAGAGGGCGACTTTGTCCTGGGTGAAATCCATGAGAGTTCCCTGTAGCTAGTTGTTGTTTATCCATGTTGAAAGGCTATAGGGGGCAAGGTTTGCAGGCAGCCAGTGGATGGATATCAAGGAGATCTGAGTAAAAGTGGACAAAACGGCACTGGCGACGTCCAGAAGACAAAGAATGTTGTTGGTCTAGGAGAGACAGTTGAGAGTGGTCAGTCCAAGGATCTTCAGCCAGTATGAGAGCAAGAGAATGATTTTTTGTGGAATTTTAAAGTCTTCTGAAACTTGGAACCTTGCACTTGCCAGACAGGTGCTTATGCTGATGAGCTATATCCCCAGCCCTATTTTAAAGTCTTTTGGAGAGTGACCCAGAGTCTGATGGCAAATGCAGGAGCCAATAGGAGGAAGGAGATCAAAAACCATAGAGGGTAACAAAACATAGGTCAGAAAAAAAAAAAAAAAAAAAAAAAAACACACCATAAGTCAGTCTGAAGCTTCTTCTGGAATTCAGGTGAGACGGAGGGTGGTGATTTCCAATGAGGACCCAGCAAGGAAGGGGACACACGAGGATCTGTAGCTGGAGCCTTTTTGAGCCTGGTCAGATGAATCCAGGTAGGCAGCCTGAGGAGTATTGCCACTTTTGGGTGGTCAGTTGGACCTGGAAAGGTCTGGTCCACTTGGGCTAGAGTCCTGTGGGGTGTAAAACTTTTATTTTTATTTATTTATTTATTTATTTTTCAGAACCAGGGATTGAACTCCAGCCCTTGCACTTGCCAGGCCAGCGCTTATTCTACTGAGCCATCTCCCTGGCCCCTGGGTATAAAGCTTTTAAACAAATCATATCTGCAGGGATTACAGGTAGTTGGAAAGACAGGTCCCATCCCCATCATTAGCTGAGGAAGGTAGGAGTCAGCATGTTCCTGCATCAGAAATCTGAGAAATTGTAGGAGAGGAAGGTAGTCAGTGGGGGAGGGTGATGGTCTTCAGGGAGATATCCTAGGACAAAAGGTCTCCCACACATTAGTTCAAAGGGGCTCAGGAAGGAGGGTGCCCATGGAGTGGCCCTTAATTGGGCAAGGGTGAAGGGAAAGTTTGAGTCAGGACAGATGAATTTCAAGGGTGAGTTTGGTACGTTGTTTTCAGGAGTTCGTAGCTCTCTGCATTTCTCTCGATTAAGGATGAAATGGAGTGTAGAGGGCCCATTAAAGGTGGAGTACCTGACAAACCTTCTGCATGATTTTTGAGCTGAACGATGTTGTCTGTAGTGACCTGGGGAGACCAAACCTGGGAATAATGTGCCCCAAAAGGATGATGGCCACCATAGTAGAATCAATGTCAGGAAGGCCTCAATCTATCCTGAGAAGGTGCAAATCATAGTCAGGAGGTATTTGAAGTGTTTTGATGTGGGCATGTGGGTAAAGTCAGAGTTGTCAGTCTTTGGCACATGTCCTCTAATTTGGTGTGTAGGAAAGAAGCGGGGGAGGCATTTATCACAATCCCTAACTTGAAATTATACTACAATGCTAGTGTGATAAAATCAGCATGGTATTGGCAAAGAAAATAGACCCGAGGAGCAATGGAACAGATTAGGAGATGCACACACAACTACAAACACATTCAGCAACCTTGTCTTTGACAAAGGGGCCAAACATGTTCACTGGAAAAAAGATAGCCTCTTTAATAAATGGTGCTGGAAAAACTGGCTTTCCACATGCTGAAGGCTAAAAACAGACTCATGTCTATCACCATGCACAAAACTATAGTCAAAATGAATCAAAGATTTATTTATTTTTTTTTTAATTTTTTATTTTATTTTTGTTTTTGGCAGAATCGGGGATTGAACTCAGGCCCATGTGCTTGCCAGAGAAGCGCTTATTCCATTGAGCCATCTCCCCAGCCCTGGATCAAAGATTTAAATATTAAAACTGAAACACTACATCTTCTGGAGGAGAATGTAGGTAGAAATCTTAAAACACAGGAGTAGGTATAGAGAGTTTATGAACAGAAATCAAACTGTATGGGAAATACTTCAAAGAATCAACAATTGGGATCTCATTCTTCTGAAAAGTTTCTGCATGTCAAAAGAAATCACTAACAGAGTAAAAAGAAAACTCACAAATTGGGGAAAAATTATAGCTAACTGTCCCTCAGACAACTCCTATCTAGAACATAAAAAGAATTTTTAGGGCTGAGGAGATGGCTCAGTAGAATAAGTGCTTGCCTGGCAAGCGCAAGGGCCTGAGTTCAATCCCCGGTTCTACCAAAAACAAAAAAAAAAAGAAAAAGAAAAAAAAAATCTGGTCTCCAAAATGCAAAGACCCAGTCCAAAAATGGGCATCTGAGATGAATATACACTTCACAAATGAAGAAATAAAAATGGAAAATAAATATACGAAAAAATGTTCTACTTCATTGGTCATTCAAGAGATGTAAATTAGGGCTGGAGAGATGGCACAGTGGTCTAAAGCACCTATTTGGAACAAGCTTGGAAAAGCACAGGGACTGCGGTTCGATCCCCCAGCACCACATGCCAGCCAGCCGCTCCCCCTGGTGGGCTGAGCTGGCCACACACACACACACACACACACACCCTAAATAAATGTTAAAAAAAAAAAAAAGAGAGAGAGATGTAAATTAAAACAATGCTGAGATACCATCTTACACCAGAAAAAATGGCTATCATAAGAAGTCAACCAATAACAAATGCTGGAGCAGCTGTGGGGATAAAGGAAGTCTTCTTCACTGTGGGAGTGCAGACTGGTACAACCATGATGGAAACTGATGTCAGGACTCTCACCCTCACTCTAAGTCTCACTTCCTCTTGACACCGAGCCGAGGCCAAAACTGCAAAACAACGCCACCTGGCTTTGACCTGGGCAAAAAAACCACAGAAACTCTCCTTTTGTTAACATTAAAAGTCCCCCACAGACCAGGTAGCCCTGCCAAGATTAGGTCTCTCTCGACTGTTCCAGCCTGCAAACCCTCTCCCCTAAAAACTCTATAAAATCCCATCCCCTTTTGTTCAGGGCTGTCTGTGTCCGCTGGACAGACAGCCTGCTTGTTCCTATATCCAATAAATCTGGCGTCAGAATGTCAACTGCATGGGTTCATAACTAAGAAAAATCAGTATGGATATTCCTGAAAAAGCTAGAATTGGAGGTCCCATTAGACCCAGCTATTCCTGTCCTAGGTATTTTTCCAAAAGAACTGAGATAATCATATCACAGGGATATATGTGCACCCATGTTTATAGAACTGCAATTTGTCATAGCTAAATCCTGGGAAAAAACCAAATGCACATCAACTGAAGAATGGATAAAAAAGATGTGGTAGGCCAGGGAGATGGCTCAGTGGCCTAAGTGCCTGCCTGGCAAGCATAAGTTCCTGAATTTGATCCCCAGTACCAAAAAAAAGTGGTATTTTTACACAATGAAGTATTACTCGGGTATAAAAAAGATAAATTCCAGACTTTTATAGATAAATGGATGCAAATAGAGACTATGTTGGTAAGTGAAATAAATCAGACCCACATGTGCAAACATTGTATTGTTTCACTAGTTTGAGAACCTGAAAGAGTAAACAAAATCTGAAAGGTACAATAGATACTGTGAAAGGGAAATAATAGTTCAACAGGAAGGAAAAATTGGGATGCAAAAAGGACAAAAGAAAGGAGAAAAGATATTTATGCAGCACAGTTTGGATAACTATACTGCTCATTTCTGCTGGTCTTTTGAAAGGAGAAATTAATGCTTTTTTTTCTTTTTAATTTCTTATACCTTTTTGGGTTTTTTATTTATTTATGTATTTATTTGGTACAGGGTCTTGCTATGCAGCTTGGACTCATAGTGATCCTCTTATCTCAGTCTCCCCAGTGCTGGGATTACAGGTATGTGCCACCACTCCCAGTTTTGGTGGCCTGTATGGTGTGCTCGGGATTCCAGGGCTGGAGTGGCATGTGGTACCAGGAATCTAACCTGGGTCCTTGTACTGAGCTACCTACCCAGCTGACAATTTTGTATTCTTTTTTTTGTGTGTGTGTGTGTGTGGTTCAGGCTGCCTGAAGGGCAGGTCTGGTAAGACAGGCAGAGCTGGGGATCAAACTGCAGTATCCTGCACCTGACTGTGTTTGCATGAGCAGGCGCTTAAACAACTGAGCTAACGGGCAGGTCCCTATTTTGTATTCTTAAAAAAAATAAATAAAAAAAGAAGGGAGCTCTTGAGGCCCCCTGCAGGGAGGTTTGGCTGCAGATTTGACATAGGCTGGTGACCTCTTCTATAACTTTAAAAAGTGAATTACGGGTTTGGGTTGGTTTAAGGAAATGAAATAGGGGCCTGCGGCCTATGTCTAGTGTTTTATGCAATTGGTGGAATGTCTGGTGTCCCTAGCCATCAGGAAAGATAACTTTGTCATCTAAAAAAAAAAAAAAAAAAAAGCAAAAATCCTTGTTTGGAAAGTAGCTTTAAGTTTGGGTAGTTTGTCAATCTCAAACTAAGAGTGGAGTAGCAGAGGATGTTGAGGCTCCTAGCTTGGCTCGTCTGTCACCAAAGGCATTTCCCTTTGAAAAGGGGTCTTTGGTCGATGTCTTTTGCAGTGTATGATGGTCCACTGTTTGGGTAGAGTGGCTGCCTGAAGAAGCTGCAGAATGAGAGGCCCACTGGCGATTGGGGATCCCTTAGTGGTGATGACGCCTCATTCCCTCCAGATGGCAGCATGAGTGTGGATAATACTAAATGAATATTTAGACTCTGTATATGTTGTTTTTTTTTTTTTCTTTCTTTCTTTTCAAAGTTTTATTGATAAACATATAGCAATGAGACAGTTTCAAATCAAATCGAAAGTACAGTTTCAACAAATAATACACTGCATACATTCTTCTCAGTGGTTAATTGCTGTACAAATAAGTCCATGGTAACCACCACCCTTTCCTTTTTTTTTTTTTTTTTTTTGGCAGAACCAGGGATTGAACTCAGGTCCTTGCACTTGCCAGGAAAGCGCTTATTCCACTGAGCCATCTCCCCAGCTGACTCTGTATATGTTAATGAGCATGTCTTTGGCTGAGTGAAGGCCCAGATTAGGGCAATGAATTCTGTCTTCTCTGAGGAGGTGCCTTCTGGGAAGGCTTTGGCCTCAATGACTGAGGAAGAGTGAACAATATTGTACCTGGCAAATTTAATTCAGGTGGGGGTGGGGAATGAGGAGCCAGCAATAAACCAGGCGTCATCAGGGGTAGAGATAGGAGTATCTTGTACGTGGAGGAAGTCGGGTGGATGTAATCCAGAACTTCTATGCAGGAATGAAGAGGAGCAGAGACCTCAGACAGAACAGGGAGGAGAGTGGCTGAGTTTAGTGAGGGACAGGTGTGTAATATATGGTGGGGTCATGGATGAAGGTTAGTTGAAAAAGCTAAATTGGAGAAGGGGCCAGAGAACTTAAGTCCTTGTGAGTTAAAAGATCCTGTCAGCAGTGTGGTGAATATACATCAATCTGTTGGCCTCGTGTGAGCTTTTTTGCTGCTGCAGCTAGAGTACAAAGGCATGGAGGCCATCCTTGTACAGTGATGTCCAGCTGTTTTGAGAAGTAGGTCACTGCTTAGAAGAGGAGGCCACTGTTTGGCCTAGAATTCCATGTGAAATTCCATTGTTTTCTACTGTGTAGCAAAAAGGGTTTGGAAAGATTGGGAAAGGTGAGGACTGGGGCGTTTGATGGTGTGTTGGAATGAAAGGCTGTGGGATGGAGAACAGAGGACAAGATCATCCACTACAGCAGGAGGTGGCCCTAGTTGGGTCAGGTCAGAGGCTGTGCTTGTCCAAAGAAGTGAGGGCTATCTCAGAACCCAAGGGAGGATGGACCAGGAGAGCTGGCAGGAGTGAGAGGTGCCAAGATTTGTCCAGGTAAAAGCAAAGAGATCCTGGCACTGGGGTTTAAGGGGATGGTAAAAAGAAAAATAAAAGTGTCTTTGCGCTCAAGGACTGAGAAATGATAAGTGGAGAGGGTAAGGGAGAGAAGAGTGCATGGATTGGGGACAACGGGGTGAGTTGGTAGGATGGCCATATTGATGGCTCAGAGGTCTTGGACCAACTGGCATGTGTCATTTGGCTTTTTTACAGGTAATACGGGAGTGTTCTAGGGCAAGTAGGTAGGTTGGAGGAGTCCTTGATTTAGGAGATTGTTCATGATGGGCTGTAGACCTTGCTGATGGGGAAGGGTAACAGGGTATTGGGGAACACAAGGGAAGGAGCAAGGGTTTTTGAGCTTTATGAGGACCCAGGTGTGGTGGTGAGCAACTGATGGGGTGGAGGTGTCCCAAACCTCAAGAGACCACAGGAGCTGGGAAGTGGGGCTGTGTGTAGCTGGGGGTGGGTAGAAGAAAGGGCTAAAAGAAGAGGTCGAAGGAAATGCAGACAAAAGGAAAAGGTAAAATTGAGGGGCCGGGGAGATAGCTCAGTAGAATAAGCCTGGCAAGCGCAAGGGCCTGAGTTCAATCCCTGGTTCCACAAAAAAAAAAAAAAAAAAAAAAGATAAAATTGAATTATGTGAGAAGGCCCCTCTCTACGAGAGGGGTGGGGCCAGGTTGGAATTACAAAAAAGGAGTAGACAAGAAAGAGAATCGAGGTGTCAAGGCAGTGGTCAGGTGGTAAGGGGACGAGGAGGTTGGTCATCAGTCACTACAGCAGAGGTCTGCACTAAAGCACACTTGCCTGAAACAAGTAAGTGGCCCTGTGTCAATGAGAAATTTTATGGACTTACCAGTGACTTCACTGGTCACTTGGGGCTCCTCCAGAGGTAGTGTGATAGGGGTCAGGAGCCCTGAGCCTCTTCAGTCGTCAGTGACAAGTCCCAGGAGGTCAGCTAGTGATTGTCAGGGGTTGCCTATGAATTTGGGTGGGAGATTGGTTTACCCTCTCGCTGGTGGGTAGGACAGTCAGCCTTCCAGTGTCCACTCATGCCACTAGCCGTACACAGACCTGGCAGCTTTCACAGCTTATGAGTCAAATCATGGTTTTTTAAAAATTTTTCTATTTATTTATTTGGTACAGGGTCTCACTACACAGTTTGGACTTGCAGTGATCCTCCTGTCTCAACCTTCTCAGCACTGGGATTACAGGCATGTGCCACTACTCCCGGTTCTGGGTTCAGCACAGCATGCAGTACTGGGGATCGAACCTAGGTTGTTCTGCTTGTCAGGCAGGTGCTTAGACCACTGAGCTATCTCCCCAGTCCCAGCTTTTTGTTTTTGAGTTTTTGAGACAGGGTCTCACTATGGCAATGTAGTTCAGGCTGGCCTTGAACTCACTTTGTAGCCACAGGCTGGTCTTGAACTTGCAGTGATCCTCCTGCCTCAGCCTCTGGAGTGCTGGGATTACAGGCATGTGCCACCGGTATTTATGGCTTTATCCCAGTTTTTTTAAATCTAATTTTTGTTGGTCTTTATGATTATTAAAACCTTAAAGGCCGGGCTGGTGAGATGGCTCAGTGGTCTAAAGCACCTACTTAGAACAAGCTAAGCCAAGCAAAGCACAGGGACCGCAGTTCAATCCTCCAGCACCACATGCCAGCCAGCCCCGCCCCCTGGTGGGCTGAGCTGGCCACACACAAAAATAAATAAATAATTAAAAAAAAAAAAAAACCTTAAAGGCCATATTGAGAAGTATGCGTTGTGGGGTTTGGGACCGTATGAGAGATAAAGTGGATGTTTTAAAATGAGAGCAGCCTCCACCTAGTCTGCATCTACCTCTGTGTATCTGGAGTGCCTCAGTTAGGCGGGTCATAAACTGCCGGATTTTCATCATTTCAGAGTTCATCAACATTAACAGCCTTGGGCTAGTGAGATAGTTCAGCAGACTAAGTGCCTGCACAGGCAAGCGCAGGGAGGGGGCTTAGATCACCAGTACCACAAGCGGCACAGACCCTGCCCCCGGCACGCAAGCTAGCAACCCAATACCCGGCATGGTGGCGCATGCCTGTATCCTGGCCCTGGACTAGGTGTCTGAGCTGTGTAGCGACCCAGTACCAAATACATAAATATAAAAAATAATAATAATAACATCCAGGCCTGGTTTTGGTCACCTCCCGACTTTTGTCGGTAATTCCAGTGGCAATCCTCGCGGGACACGGCCAGAACGCCAACAGGATGTAGGGGCTTTGTTCTGAGTTTCAAAGGTTAGGGTGGAACATAAAGCAATAAATATTGCTTCAAGTAAGGTCGTCAGAATGGAGAAGATATAACTTTACACAGTCGTTGGGGTCATGAGACAGTCAAGCCATTTTTAATGTGTGAGAGGTCTGACAGTGAGAGGGGGTCAAGGACTCCAAGGAGGCCCTCAGGTCCAGCAACCAAATGAAGCTGGGAGTCTTGGGATCTGATAGGAACAGCTAAGGGGGGGAGGGGCAGGAGCTGGGGAAGGCAGAGAGGGGAGAGGGGGTTCTCAGGCCGAGGAGGCTGAGAAGGGGGATGGGCACAGGAAGAGGGGACATCATCTAAGGGATCCTGTTCTAACTGATAAAAAGGGAGCGATTCCTTTTGAGAAGGGGGAGGACACTTGGGGAAGGAGCTAGTAGGATCCAGCCAGGGAGCATGAAGAGCATGGGAGAGAAGAGAGCCTGGGTGTAGGGAATCTCTGACTACTTGCTGTTGGGATGACCAAAGTCATCAAGGTCAGGCAGGATGTCAGAATTAAAAACACCATCCTAGCGGGGAGATAGCTCAGTAGAATAAGTACTGGCCTGGCAAGCGCAAGGTACTGAGTTCAAGCCCCGGTTCCAACAAAAATACAAAAAACAAACAAAAAACCTTAAAAGCATCATCCTCTGGCCAGTGTTCCCCAGTATCTCCAAGCTGTCCAACAATAACAGATAAACTTTTTGGACTTGATGGTCTCCCAGAGACCAAAGGGGCCACAGTTTTTTAGAATGCATGCGAGGAGAGTGCAGAGTCTGGGGGATTTTTGAGTGGGAGGTCCCCACTAGGTCAAAACGAAAGGAGAGAGGTCAGGTCTGAGTGAGTGGGTGGATCATCACCCACAGTCTCACACAGACAGGAGAAAGTATCACTGCCAGGCCAAGTCTGAGAGTATGTCCAGTATCAAACTGGCAGCCCAAAAGGACAGGGAAGTCGTCCTCCACGTGGACCCAAGATTGCCAGCAGGAGCCAGAAAACAAGAGACAAGGAGACTCAGAAGAGGCTCACCTTAAGGAAAATGCAAGCCGGTCTCGTGGACAGAAGCCTGGGCCACTGTAAGGAGTTGCTGTGTTCCACAAGCCACTGGGTCGATTGTGGGGGGGGGTCTCACCTCGGGCGGAAACCACTCCCGCCCAGCAATCCGAGTCACAGCACCAAAATGCAAGGTTCGCAAGGCAAAAGAGACACAGCAACAGGAGGAAGCCTTTTGAGGCAAGAACAGTAGGCGGACTTGTGAGGTACTGATCCGGATGAGGTGCAGCCCAGCTGTATTTTTGTAGGGTTGGGTACAAGAGCCCTTAGAAAGGGCGCGAAATTTCCTGCGCATGCTCAAGGGCCAGTTTCAACGACAACAGGATGTTTGTGTAACATTAGGGTCACCGTGCAGTAACACTGCCAGTCAGGAACAATTGGGGGTGGGGTTAGCCTTGCTGGGCTGTTCATGAGCTGTTTTTCTTGTGAGGACATCTGGTGCCAGTAAAAACATAGTGTGTGTGTGTGTGTGGGGGGGTTATAACCCAGAGGGGTTTGGGTATGTTGTGATTTTTTTTTTCAAAATCAGTATTGTGATTATTCCTCCCAGTACTTCACAATGAGCTACATACCCAGCCTTTTTTAAATTTTAACTTATCTATTTATTTATTTAAGTTTTTTGAGGTAGGGTCTTGCTATGAGGTTCAGATGGTCTCCAAGTCCCTGTGTTGCCATGATGATCCTCCTGCCTCAGCCTCCTAAGTTATCCCCCCTCATTTTGTAGAAGAAGAAACCAAAGTTGGGGGGTGGGAAGGTGAAGCAGTTCTCCAAATTCACCCACAGCTCCCCAAAGGCAGACCTAAGTTCTGAGTTGAGTTTGCCATATGCTCTTCGCAGCTGCCTGATTTCTCTGGATCGCTGTCCCCTGCCTGCTCCTGTCCTCTCCTGTGCTGCTCTGCTCTGTGCCCCTCTCTTCCCCACAACTCTCCGGACCTGAGGCTGTGCCCAAGGAGAAGTTTTCCAGAGCTCTGAGTCTCCTCCCTGAGGTTGTTCTCAGGCCTGCTGCACTGCTGAACATCACATGCCCTGTCCCCATGTCCCCCTGTCCCCCTGTCCCCCTGTCCCCCTGTTCCCCTGGCAGCTCAGAGACAGGATTTCTTGACAGTGTCAGGCCAGAAGCCAAGAGAGGAGAGATGTCCGGGACTACAGATGTCGGTAAGGTCAGGATTGGCAGTGAGTGACTGGCTTCAGCCTCAGCAGCAGGGAGTCTTGGACCTGGACAGAGGCCATAGAGACAAAACGTGTGGAGCTGGGCTGCAAGAGCAGAGCTGTAATCCAGCACTTGAAGGCGAGGTGGGACTTCGAATCCAGGAGTGCAAGACCAACCTGGACAACATAGCAAGATCCTGTCTGAAAAACAAAATAATGTGCTTGAGAATTAGCTCAGCAGTCTAAAACTCCTGCTTAGGCAAGTGCAGGGACCAAAGTTCGCACCACATGCCACACCAGCCCCATCCCCAGGGTGGGCTGAGCTGGCCACAAAAAAACCCACAGTGTTTGATTCCTGGTACCAAAATAAAGTGCTTAAAAAATAACAATAATTAAAAATTCAAAAATAAATTTAGGGGCTGGGGAGATGGCTCAGTGGAATAAGTGCTTCCCTGGCAAGCGCAAGGGCCTGAGTTCAGTCCCCAGTTCCGCCAACAAAAAAAAAATAAATAAATAAAAATAAATGTAAATATATAAAATATGGGGTTGGTAAAAAAAAAAAAAAAAACATATGGGGTCAATGATAAAGCTCAGCAGTACAGTGCTTGCCTAGCAAGTGCAAGGTCCTGAGTTCACTTCTCAGCGCCAAAAGATAAATAAGGTTTTTTTTATAAATTTTTTTTTAAATTTTATTTATTTATGTGTGTGTGTGTGTGTGTGTGTGTGTGTGTGTGTGTGTGGCCAGCTCAGCCCACCAGGGGGCGGGGCTGACTGGCATGTGGTGCTGGGGGATTGAACCGCGGTCCCTTTGTTTTTGCTGAGTTTGTTCTAAGTAGGTGCTTTAGACCACTGAGCCATCTCACCAGCCCCTATAAATTTTTTTTAACATTTATTTAGTGTGTGTGTGTGTGTGTGTGTGGCCAGCTCAGCCCACCAGGAGGCACGGCTGGCTGGCATGTGGTGCTGGGGGATTGAACTGCAGTCCCTGTGCTTTGCCAAGCTTGTTCCAAGTAGGTGCTTTAGACCACTGAGCCATCTCTCCAGCACAAGATAAATAAATTTTTAAAGTGCTGCTGGGCATGGTGTTGTCCCAGCACCTGGAAGGATGAAACAGGAAGATTGCCATAAGTTTAAGGCCTGCCTGGTCTACATAGTGAGACCATGTCTCAAGATAAATAAATAAAATAAAACAAGTACAGTAACTTAAAAAAAAAAGTGCTCCAAAAGAAGTTCTAATCACTATAGCATGCTGGGTTATTCTGAGCTTTATTTATTTATTTATTTATTTATTTATTTATGCAGTACTGGGGATTGAACTCAGGACCCTGTGCTTGCCAGGCAAGCGCTTATTCTACTGAGCTATCTCCCAGGCCCAAACTCAGGCCCTTGCACTTGCCAGGGAAGCACTTATTTCTACTGAGCCATCTCACCAGCCCCTATTCTGAGCATTTTATACAATTAACTCATTTGATATTCACAGCAACTTCCCCATGGGAAATGTAAGCACAGAGAAGTGAAGCGGAAGTCATGCAGCCTGGTGACCGTGGGGATCAGGGTCTGACCACAGACTTGTACTATCGGGTCCCAGGCCCTGGGTCCAATTCAAGGGCCCTGGGCAGTGGTGGGCAGAACCAGTGTTGAGGGAGAGGGCATGACCAGAGGGCAACCAGGATAAGCTGGGTGGGGCAGGTGATTTAGAGGCTGCCTGGTTCCCTCTCTGGGCCCATAAACCAGTGGGAAGGGAGATAAGGTGATTCCAGAGGGAGAGGCAGGGTGGGTCTGGTGCTGCCCCTTCCTGGGCAGAGACTTTGGGTCGCACACCTCTGCCCTGGTTCTGTGGGAAATTCACAAAGCAAAACTAGAGCAACAAGCAAAAATATGACGGCAGTGAGTGGGGGGTCAGCACAGGGTCACAGTATTGAGCCCAGGCTTGGCTGCCTCGGGCAGAGCTGTCCAGGAGACCAGGGCTGGGACTCCACATGTGGCCATATTTGTTTTTCCAGTAGTGGGAACTGAATGCAGGGCCTTCTCATTGAACTACATTCCCAGCCCTGTTTTTCCCCCTTGAAACAGAACCTTGCTAAATAGTTTAGGCTGGCCTCAAATTCCCTGGGATCCTCCTGCATCAGCCTCCAGAGTGCTGGGATTACAGGCATGCACCACCACATGCAGCCCTTTTTTTTTATTATTTCGAGATAGGATCTTGCTAAATTGCAGGGACTGGGCTCATACTTTTGGTGTTCCAGCCTCCACCTCCCTCAGGACTGGGAATACAAGTGGGTAGACTTGCACCCAGCAGTTCTGGGTGTTTCACACACATACTGCTGTCCTCCATTCCTGCTGACTTCTCACCTGGGACTGGAAGGAGGACAGAACTCCAGTCCGGCCAAGGAGGTTTCCAGACCTTGCACTATCAGGGACACAGCTCAAAGGATCCAGGGGAGGGCAGTAGAGTGAAAACTGATGACTTGTGTCAAACAACAGAGGCAGGGGCTGGGGAGATAGCTCAGTAGAATAAGTGCTTGCCTGGCAAACACAAGGTCCTGAGTTCAATCCCCAGTACCGCCAAAAGAAAAAAAAAAAAAAAAAAAAAAGAGGGAATGAAGGAAGAAGGGAAGAAGAGACAGACAGACAGTGAGAGGGACAGGGAAAGGAGAGGAAGGGGAGAGAGAAAGGAGAAAGGCCACCTGCTTGCTCTCAGGGCCTCCCCAGGTCTACTGAGGCAACTCAGTCCTGTGCTTGGTGTTTCCAGGGATGCAGAAGCATCATGTTAGAATACATGAACCAGTGTAAGTCACTGCTTCCAGAAAACCCAGCAAGGACAGTGAACACACCTTAGATCCCAGAGGGGCCAGCCAAGTGGATTAAAGCCTGGGTTTGATCCCCAGGCCTGCTGTGCTACAGCAATTGAGACTGGGAGTGGTGGTGCGCACCTATAATCCCAGCTCTTGGGAAGCTGTAAACAGGCGGATCACTACAAGTCTGATCTAGTAGTGGTATGCTGAACACCCTATAGACCCTTCCCTAAAAAAAAAAAAGAAATGGAAAAACTGCCAATATCTGATTTCTGCCCTCCATATTTCCATTTGCAGTCATACACTTAGGTACTTTCTTTCTTTCTTTTTTTTCAGAACGGGGGATTGAACTCAGGCCCTCGCGCTTGCCAGGGAAGCGCTATTCCACTGAGCCATCTCCCCGCCCACTTAGGTACTTTTGACCCAATGGGAAGAAATATCTAAAATTCAGAACTACTGTTTTTTTTATTTTTTTATTTTTTTTTATAACTTCTCACCTCTCCACTCACAATTACTCTTTTTTTAAAAATTAATTTTATTTATTTGTGTGTCTGTGTGTGTGTGGCCCACTCAGCCCACCAGGGAGCGGGGCTGGCTGGCATGCAGTGCTGGGGGATTAAACCGCGGTCCCTGTGCTTTGCTAAGCTTGTTCTAAGTAGGTGCCTCAGACCACTGAGCCATCTCACCAGCCCCAGAACTACTGTTAACAAGAACAGGAAAAACAAATTTTTTCTTTCATATCTTTTTTTTTTCCCACATCAGATGGGTAACATGGCCACATTGTATCCAGGCTTGAGGGAGACACATCTCATGTACACAACATCACGTTTGTGAACCAAAGGATGTAATGTCTTCATCAGTTTCATTTATTAGTTTTAAGGTTTCCTTTGGCTAGATTTATGCATAAGACACTTTGATCATTTTCGCCCCAACCTTTCCCCACCATGGAAGTGTATGTGCCCAGGGGCCAAACCCACGGCTTCAGAAAGTGCTCTACCGGGGCTCTACCACTGAGCTATCATCCTGGCACGACTGATTGATGTCTTTTTTTTTTTTTAAACAGAACCAGGGATTGAGCTCAGGCCCTCGCACTTGCCAAGCAAGCACTTATTTTACTGAGCTATCTCCCCAGCCCTGATTGATGTCTTTTTGAGATGGGTCTCACTATGCAGTTTAGGCTGGCCTTGAGCTCACTTTTTAGTCCTGGCTGGTCTTTTTTTTTTTTTTAATTTTATTGAGAAACAAAATTGCAGGCATGTACTATCACACGAGGCTTTTCTTTTTT